GGTGGATCACCTGAGGTCAGGAGTTCAAGACCAGCCTGACCAACATGGTGAAACTCTGTCTAAAAAAAAAAAAACAAAAAAGACTGCATGGCATTGGTGGAGAGAGATATATATCCATGGAACAGAATAGAAAATGCAGAACTATCCTCCACGTGCATGTACTTTAAACTGATATTTGATGAAGATACCAAAGCAATTGAAAGGAGGACTTTCAAATAATGGTGCTGGACCAAATGAATATCCACAGGTGAAAAAAGGTGAATTTGCACTTAAATTTTACACTCTTTCAAAAAGGATCATATCTTTAAATGCAAAATAATGATATTATAAAATGGTAATCTATCAAGAATTAGAAAACATACTGTAAGGCCAGGCGCGGTGGCTCACGCCTGTAATCTCCACACTTTGAGAGGCCAAGGCAGGCAGATTTTGAGGTCAGTAGATCGAGACCATCCTGGCTAACACAGTGAAGTCCCTTCTCTACTAAAAATACAAAAAATTAGCTGGGCTTGGTGGCACACGCCTGGAGTCCCAGCTACTCAGGTGGCTGAAGGAAGGGAATTGCTTGAACCCAGAAGTCAGGGGTTGCAATGAGCCAAGATTGCACCACTGTACTCCAGCCTTGGCAACAGAGAGAGACTCCATCTCAAAACAAAAACAAACAAACAAACAAAAAACTGTAAAATAATTGGGAACTCAGGCACACCAAAAAGTTCATAGATACAGCACCAAAAGCATGATAAAAGAGAATAAATGAAACTTTGTCAAGTTAAAACTTCTGGTCTGTGGTAGCAATGGAACAGAATAGAGAACCCAGAAATTAGGCCACACACCTGCAACTATCTGATCTTCGATGAGGCCAACATAAATAAGCAATGGAGAAAACACTCCCTGTTTAATAAACGATGCTGGAATAACTGGCTAGCCACATGCAGAAGATTGAATCTGGACATCTTCCTTACACCACACACAAAAATTAACTCAAGATGAATTAAAGACTTACATGAGAAACCCCTAACTATAAAACACCTGAAAGACAATCTAGGCAATACCATTCTGGACATACAAATGGGCAAAGATT